ATCGATCTTTCAAAGCACGTCGCGAAGGCGAAGATCACTCGTCACGATCGACACGATCGCGTCGCGTTTTACGCGTTTCTCGACCCCGTGGTTCGAACTCGCAAAGAAAGACGACCGCAAAGTTAATCTCGACGCGGAACGATCTCAGGATCAAGCTTCTTTCGTCCCGTCGTATTCCACGCTCTCGATCGGCACGCGTCGCCTCGACGAAAAAAGAAGAGAAGAAAAATTGGTAGGAGAGTTGTCGCTTCGCACGGAGAGGTCGAGACGGTCGCAAGCGAGTCGGTTCTCGACAACCGCATTCTCTCTCGTACAATCGTCGAGACGCTGCGCGAAGACGAAAGTCAACGTTCGTTCAGCTTTGCCGGAAGGTCCGTCGACGAGACAGTTTTTAAAAATTTGGAATTCACTCGGAGACAGAGTTCGCGTCGCGGGATATCTTCGACGAGAAATATCCGACGCGCGTCGCGGGAAGCGGAAGACGAACGGGGGAAAAAGTACTCGGACACGCACGAGGTCTTTCTCCGTCACGTACACGATCGCAGAAGAAATTATCGGAATACCGTGGACCGGCTTACGAAGATACATCGCGATGTTTCGACGTTCAGCGGATCGGTTGTCGCTCGGACGTTTATCACGGCGAAATGTCACAGTCAGTCAGTCAGGCTGGAATCGATGGCAGGACGAAAAGTACTCGCATCGATTCGTGCCGAATCGAAGCTGACCGAACGAAATTGTCGATTCCGAAACGAAACGTACGACGGAATTCGAGGAGATCGCAACGTCGAGTTTGCGAGAAGATGCGCGCGCCGATACGCAGGTAAACCGAGAGTGAATTTAAACAACGGGAAACGATCGAGGGACTCGGACTCGGCGAAGGGAAGCGACGGGAAATTTGGATTTTTGGAAGAGCCGCAGGAGGGTCGGGGAAGAAGGTCGCAGAAGAGCGACGCAGGAGAAAATCGTTCGCTCACTTGATTTCGGCGAAACGCCTGAGGATTCGGGGCGTAACCGACGGTTCCTTGCATCTTGATGGCACGCAATATCTCCGGATCGACGGTGGGTGTTTTCCTGGGGAAAAAAAAACAAAAACGAGAAGGAACTGGAAGAGCGACGATCACGGAGAAGTGGAAATGGCGACGGCACCTACCTGTAAACTTTCCTCGAGTACTCCTCCGGCCAGTCGCTCAACAACGGATGGCCGGTGCGAACGATCGGTATGGCGCTCAACGGCGTGACGTCGTCGTCGTCGAACGACAGAGATCGAGTGGAATCGACGGGGTCGGCAAATTCGGTTGGCCTGGATCGGAAAAAGGACGTACGCGGGTAGAACGAAGGGTCGCAAGTTTGCGGATTGTTTTGCGATTTACCAACCGAGAGAACGTGTTGAATTGCGGCTCGGGCGTATTGGTGGACATGAGGTGAACGGAACCCGCGGAATCTCCGAAGCACAGACACTGAGACGTGGAAGAGACGTCGAAGGACGATATCATGGCACCAGCGGTGGCAACCTGTGGACGCGCGAACGGAGATGGTCGGTCCGGGGAAGAGCGGGGGGTTGGGATATTTACCTGATACAAGCACGTGACGGGTGGCTGGACGTTGGCGTAGATAGTGTCGAGAAGTTGCATCTGTCCGAGCGGTGCTACGACAGCCAAACGACTGGAATAGCTGGGTAGAAATTTCAACAGGAGGGGATAGACCAAAGTAGCAACGGGGCTCAACGCTCTCATCTGTCTCAAGTCGTACGCCATCAAGAATCGATCT